AGTGACCTCGCCTTCCACAAACTTTCATTATTATTATTATTATTATTATTATTATTATTATTACAGTATACTCTCAGTTAACCAGCACCCATGGAGGTCAATGGACAATGGGCCTAATATTCTACCCCATGCTATATTAGTATTATTTAGATTCCCCATCTTTCTAAATTACTTTCCCATTCCTAAACACCCAATCACTGGCCTTGCCTTCCACAAACTTTCATTATTATTATTATTATTATTATTATTATTATTATTATCGTCATCATCATCATATTAATATTAATATTACAACATACTCTCAGTTAACTGGGATCCATGGAGATCAATGAACAATGGGCCTGACTACTACTATACCCATGCTATATTATTATTATTATTATTATTATTATTATTATTTTCCCATGCTATAAACCGTATTGATTTGATATTAATACTGAAATACAATAATCAAAAGCAAATTAAGACTATTAAAGGCAAACTTAATGTGGCACAGTTTTACTATATTATATACTAGTTTGGGTACCCAGCATTACCCGGGTTATTTGAAAAAGTCATTTTTTTGCATAAGGTTGTGGGTGAACTACAACTCACCTCATGCCAGGTTAACCCCCTGAAATTCCATCAGTGCTTAAAGTTTCTCATGTTGGGGGCTCTGTGTGCCAAGTTTGGTGCAATTCTATCTTTGGCGGAGTTCAGAGTGCTCATTGATTGCAGGTGAACTATAAATCCCAGTACCTACAACTCCAAAATGTCCAGGCCAATTCCCCTCAAAACCCACCAGTATTCATATTTGGGCATATTGGGTATGCATGCCAAGTTTGATCCAGATCCATCATTGTTTGGATTCATAGTGCGCACTGGATGTAGGTGAACTACAACTCCTATAAATCCTTCGAAAGACCTCTGGTATTTTTCGTTGTTCACGGGGGTTCTGTGTGCCAAGTTAGTTCAAGGCCCATCGTTGGTGGAGTTCAGAGTGCTTTTAGATTGCAGGCGAACTATACATCCCGGTACCTATAATTCCTATAAATCATGGTGAATTCTCCCCCAACCTCTCTAGAATGTTCAGTTGCTGATCAATTCCTCTGCTTGCTGTGCACCATAGAAAATAATAGGAAAGGGTTAAGGGAGAGGCAGTGGGCGGGGTCATGCAAATTCAATACCAGTGGAGAGAGTCAGAAACACTGGGATGCCTGTGGTGGAGGAAGGACATAAAATCTAGGATGAAATTGACCCTGTATGAAAGCCTTCACTTGGGTGGTTGGCAGTATTGTATTTGTGGAGGACATTGGCAGGGCTCTTGTACATATTCATGGTGCCCACTATAACTTGCAATGACATTGGAGGGAGGGCCATTGGTGTCTCCTGAGCAGTGGGGCTTGTCTATGTAAGTGAACACCCTAGCCACATACATATTTTCTTGGCATTTTAATGATGATATTTTTAATTACATTTTAACTTAATTTATATATTGTTTATATTTTATTTACATTTATATTGTTTTTGTATTTATTTTTATTTTCATTATATTTTACTGTTTGTATTTTATGTTGTATATTTGCTGTACTGTTGGGCTTGGCCTCATGTAAGCCGCCCCGAGTCCCCTTGGGGAGATGGTGGTGGGGTATAAATAAAGTATTATTATTATTATTATTATTATTATTATTATTATTATTAGTTCACTATTACAGGAGTCTTAGGATAGTGATTAGTGTCTATTTGTGTACTTTTTCGTTTTTGTCTTTAAAGTTAATATGATCAGTGGACTAATCAATAAACTTTACTAAACATACATATTTTCACTTTTATTATATGTATATATATAAATAATTTTTTTGGTTTTTGGGGGGCAACTAACCTGAGTTCCCATTAACTGAGTGTCTACTGCAATGTTTATATTTATTTGTATGCAAGGCTGGAGCTACACTGCTATTTAATCCAGTTTTTGAATCCATATTATCGGCTCAAGGTGGATTATTATTATTATTATTATTAATCAAGTTTTAATGTCTGTTAGTTCACTATTACAGGAGTCTTAGGATAGTGATTAGTGTCTATTTGTGTACTTTTTTGTTTTTGTCTTTAATGTTGATATGATCAGTGGACTAATCAATAAACTTTGCTAAACATATATATTTTCACTTTTATTGTGTGTGTGTGTGTGTGTGTGTGATTTTGGGGGGCAACTAACCTGAGTTCCCATTAACTGAGAATCTACTACAATATTTACATTTATTTGTATCCAAGGCTGGAACTACACTGCCATTTAATCTAGTTTCTGAATCCATATTATCGTCTTCAAGGTGGATTATTTGAGACTACAATGCCATATAATCCAGTTCAAAGCAGATAAACTGGATTGTACAGCAGTGTAGATGGGGCCTAATTTTCCTCTGTTAAAAGAGACTCAAAGCAGATCCATGACTGTAAAACCAATAGTCCCCAGCTAAATATGGAAATATAGTTCAAATACACTATATATAGTTTTTGGGTGCCAACCAATTACATTTGGGCTATTTAGGACTTCCCAGTAGTTAAGCATCTCAAACCTAGTTCAGGAAGGTGCATTTTTAATTTTTTAAAAGGTTTATTTCATTTTAAGTTTTGCATTTTCCTTCCTGAGGACCTTACAGACAAGAACAAGAATGCCTCTGCAGGTAAATCAATAAGGCTGCATGTATTTTTCTCCCAGGCCCCTTTGTGACTATAATCAGAGGCTACAGCAGCTGCTTTAAGGATTATTCCCCCCCCCTTTTTTTTTTAAAAAAAAAGTCAAGATACGTGATTTACTCCTCTATAATGTTCATTTCAGCCAAAGATAACGGATTTAGCCAGGGCTGTTTCTGTATAGTAATTCAATCCCCACAATATGTCCTTAACAATCCATAGGAAAGATTAAGAGAAGTAAAACATACACACGCCAAATAACATATTTCTTTAATCTCATTTAATTCCCATTATCCTTGCTGGCCTGGATGCAGGAAAGTCATTGTGTGTGGTCCCTCTTCCCACTCAGAAGTGGAGAACTTCATAGGCCTTTAGATGACTTTGGACTGCAGCTTCCATCATCTTTCATCATTGGTTCTGATGGCTAGGACTCTTTCCTTACTCATGACCCTTCTATTCCAACAAACCTAATGGGTATTGGGTTGTTGTAAGTTTTTCCGGCTTTAAGACCATGTTCCAGAAGCATTCTCAACTGACATTTCGCCTGCAACTCAGGCAGGCATCCTCAGAGGCTTTCCAATACAAATGCACATGCAATTAACACCACACAGGTTGTATTAGTGGGTTATACTATATCTTCCAATATGTCACTGATAAAAAGCTTGACATATGAGCCAAACAATGTCAGATCGTCAGGGCCAGCCCTACGTAATTTTCAAGTGTAAGCAAACAGTTTTTTGCCCCCCCCAACCCCCCCCCCCCATTGTTTAGCCCCCTGAGCTAAACAATGGGGATGTTCCTTGGTCACATTGGTTAGCTTCTTTCTCTCTCTTTCATTCTCTCTCCACCCTTCCTTCTCTCTTAATCTTTCTCTCTCACACACATACACATTCCTACAGAGCGTTGCCTTCAGGTCTCTCCTTATTCACCTTTCCTTCCTTTAGGGAAGGTCAAAATAACAGTGAAAGTGGGTTGCTGTGAGTATTCTGGGCCGTATGGCCATGTTTCAGAAGCATTCTCTCCTGACATTTTGCCCACATCTATGGCAGGCATCTTCAGGGGTTGACACCCCCCCCCCCCCCACACACACACACACAAATACACACAGGCATTCCCTCAGAGTGCTGCCTTCAGGTCTTTCTTTACTCGCCTTTCCCTCCCTAAAGTAGAACAAGACTTCTTGGTCATGTTGGTTACCTTCTCCCTCCCTCCCTCTCCTTCCTTTTCTTTCTTTCTTTCTTTCTTTCTTTCTTTCTTTCTTTCTTTCTTTCTTTCTTTCTTTCTTTCTTTCTTTCTTTCTTTCTCTCCTTCCTTCCTTCCTTCCTTCCTTCCTTCCTTCCTTCCTTCCTTCCTTCCTTCCTTCCTTCCTTCCTTCCTTCCTTCCTTCCTTCCTTCCTTCCTTCCTTCCTTCCTTCCTTCCTTCCTTCCTCCTTTCCTTCCTTCCTTTTCCTTTGTCGCCCTCTCTCTATTCTCCCCTCTCCCTCTCTTTCAGCCAACTTTGTCTTCCCTCCGACCAATCCCAAGGCGCAGAGCCACAGCCACAGCACACGTCTGGACTCGCGCACTTTGACCATCTGCCTTGAGCTGGGTTTGGAGGGGCAGGTGCTAGGGGAGAGGCTTCCTTCCCCGGGGAGGCTGTTGCTTTGCCGCCGCCGCCTCCCCAGCCAACCCTGCCGCCTCCTCCTTGCCGCAGGAGCAAAGGCAAAGGCGGCAGCAAGGGACCCACAAGGGTCCTGCCTCTCTCTCTTGCCTGCCTTGCCTGCTGTGTGTGTGCGGGGACGCTTCAAGAGCGCCCCTTGGGGATTCGCGCTAGACACAAATGCATATCTTGCCTATTGCTTCAGCCGCCCTTGCAGATTGCAGTAAACATGACAAAAACCCTTAAAAAGGTAGAAAACCCAAACCAAGAAAGGTAGCAGTAGCTTGCTTTTGCTCGAGCCTACTGGGAAAGGCAAGATCCCCCATCTTTTCTTTCTCCTCCGCTGTTAATTGAATGCTAACAACTTTTGACCTTTGAAGTCAGAATGCAGCAACTAGTAACCCAAAGACAAAGGCAGAAAGAAAAAAATCTAGAATATTTTGTAAGCATCCAAAAAAGTGGGGTGACATAGTGGAAAACTTGAACTGTCCCTGCCAAACAATGTATGTGTATGCCATATATCCAATACTACAATTCTGCACAGCTAAAACCCTCCCTTGCAGTTCTGTCCTTCAAGATAATGGAATAGCTGGGGGCAGCTAGTGGTAAGACAAGCCTTCACTAAGGCTGGATCTACTTGGTCAAATAATGCACGTTGAACTGCATTATATGGGTCTACACCAATCATATAATGCAGTTCAATGCATTTCAAACTGCACTATATGGGTAGACGCTGACCATATAATGCCGTTCAAGCTGCATTATTTGGCAGTGTAGATCCAACTATAGTGGGTACCCTTTTGGTTTCCCAGGAGTTCATACATCGGATTGAACAAATTGATTTATGATGCCACCCCATTTTCTGTTGTGTTCTCCCTCCGAAGGAGAACAGAGATCTCTTCCTTCAGGTGCTCGGCTTTCCCCCGGGCTTCCTCACTTGCTCCCGGGTCGTCCGTCTCCACCAAAACCTCCAGGACTGAACGCAGGGCATCTGCGTTCTTGACAGACTCCATCTGTTCCCCGTCGGCTTTGATTTCTTCTACCCAGTCCAAATATGCCTGCAACAGCCCCATGTCCGAGAGGAAACTGCTTATGATCTTCAGCTCTGGTTTTCTACCACTCAGCTCCGAGAGCACTTTCCTCCCAGCTTTGCTCAGCCGGTTCCCCACAATCCTGGCAAAACAATTGAGATAAGCATCAAGACCACACAGGGGAAATGCGATATGCACACATCTATGAGAGTCAATGAGGCATACTTTTTTGAGTGTTGGACTATGACCCAAATCCTTGCTTGGCCATGAAACCCATTGACCAGTCGTACACTCTCAGTCTCAGAAGACAACAAAGGTCAACTTGTTCTGAACCAATCTTGCCAAGAAAACCCTGTGATAAGGTTGCCCTTGGTTCTCTATCGGTCAGGGTTGGTACTCATCTCCATTTCTAAGCAGAAGAGCCGGCATTGTCTGTAAACACCTCCAAGGTCATGTGGCCAGCATGACTGCATTGAGGCACTGTTGCCTTCCCACAGAAGCGGTACCTATTGATCTCTCATTTGCATGTTTTCGAACTGCTAGATTGGCAGAAGCTGGGGTTAGCAGTGGGAGCTCACCCCACTCCCCGGATTTGAACTGGCAACCTTTCGGTCAGCAAGTTCAGCAGTTTAGCCCACTGCGCCACTAGAGGGGCCCTTGTTGGAGAGAAAAGCGGGGTATAAATAAGCATAATAATAATAATAATAATAATAATAATAATAACCCAAGAAAACACATCTTTGGGAATCTCTAGGTCCAGAAGTTGAGCCTGGATTTGCACTGGAGGAATTAGAGATTCACAGAGAGAGTAAATTAATCAAATCTACGACCAGTGAAATCTGCAAAATGTGGAGGTCCAACTGTTCTATCACCAGAGTTCACCAAATTCTGTACTGAGTTGCATGTTGGTTTTGGTCTTTGTGAAATTTGGTCTTCTGGTTCTTGACTTCTCTCTGAAACAACTCTGTCCTGCTCACCTTCAGGTTACTTTGCCAAGTTTTTGTATCATTATTTCACTGAAACATCAACTGAGGGAACTCACGTCAGAAGGCGGAGAGTATTGTTGCCCATCAGCGAATCCAGGATATTATCCAAGCCACTGTCCGTGATGCCTGTGATATCCAGGTAGAGCTCTTCAAGGGTAGTGTTATGCTGGAGAGCATCCCATAAGCTTCTCACTCCCTCTGAGCCCAGGCAGTTCCCACAAAACCTATTAGGATGTGTGCATGGGAGAGAGAGAAAGAGCACAAAGCTTAACAGAGGGGCCACATATCACAGTTTCTAAGAGAAAGCCTTCTTCGTGGCTGCTCCCAAGTTATGGAACTCCCTCGCAAAGGAGATCCAATTACTGTCTCTCTGTCAGCAAGTTAATCTCGTTTTCTTTATTGGGTTGTTGTGTGTTTTCTGGGCTGTTTAGCCATGTTCCAGAAGCATTCTCTCCTGACGTTTTGCCTATATCTATGGCAGGCATCCTCAGTGGTTGTGATGCCTGCCATAGATGCAGGTGAAACATCAGAGAATGCTTCTGGAACATGTCCATACAGCCCGGAAAACACAAACAACCCAGTGATTCCAGCTGTGAAAGCCTTTGACAATATATTTTCTTTATTGAAGCATTTGTTTTTTAGCATGCTCTGGCAGATAAGGTTTTTAATGGGTTGGAGTTTATGTTTCACTGTATTTTACTGTTTGTAAGTTTCTTGGAATCCCCTAAAGCACACACATAAAATGCATGGCCTGTGGGCCAAACCTGGCCCACCACATCATTTTATGTGACCTATGAGGATCACAATGCCAGGGAAACATATTTATACAGACTTTATATAAGCTGGGACAGGATGCAGCAGTTAGTGGCAAACCTTTTGACATCAACATTCTGGAGCAACATACTTGAATTTTGTTATCCAGATGTTTTGGATTTTCAACTCCCAGGAAATCCAACCAAATCTGGAATTTTGGGAGCTGGTGTTCGAAACATCTAGGGCATCAAAGTGGGGTATACAAATCAAAACAGAAGTTTGGTGGAGAAGAGAGAGAAGTCACTCACAGTAGCCGTTTTACTCGACACTCTGGGGACCTCAGTATTGCAGCTTCTATTGCCGCTGCCTCCTGGTCCAGGGAATTATAGCGTATTCTGGAAACAAAGAGACTAATTCAGAATGCAAACATAGATATCTGACCTTCCCAATCTTATCAAAGGAGGACATGGACATTGTAGGGTCACACTGACAGAAGTTAGACTCCCTCCCAGTGGCTCCACATAGGAAGAGCATGCACTTTCCACTAGCATTAGCCTTTCAAAATGTTTTGCTAAACAAAGACCAAAACAGTTTTTTCTCCCATTGAAGTGGCAGTTGACTCTCCCCACCATCAAAAAGAAAGAAAGAAAGAAAGCAAGCAAGCAAGAAAGAAAGAAAGATAGAAGAAATGATTTTAGGAGAGAATCTGAAGACAGCAAAGTAAGTTTATTTATTTATTTACTGTATTTGTATACCGCCTTTCTCAGCCCGCAAGCAACTCAAGGCGGTTTACAGGGCAAAATTCAATGCCCACAATACCATAAATACAATTGAAAACATTAACATATAATAAAAACCATAACAAAATCAATAAAACATAAATAATTAGTGTCTCCTTGTTAAAAACATTGTCTGGTCCCATCGTCTAGTCGTTCCATTTTCCTATGTCAGTTACTCTGCATTTGCAAACACTTGCTCAAAAAGCCACTTCTTGACTTTTTTCCGAAATGTTAAAAGGGAAGGGGCCGATCTGATATCCCTAGGTAGGGTTTTCCATAGCCAAGGGACCACCACCGATAAGGCTGTCTCTCATCCCCACCAAACGTACTAGTGACGAAGGCGGTAACGAGAGTAGAGCCTTCCCAGACGACCTTAAGATCCTAGATGGTTCATAAGGGGAGATGTGTTCGGACAGATAAGTTGGGTCAGAACCGTTTAGGGCTTTATAGGCTAAAGCCAGCACTTTGAATTGTGCTTGGTAGCAAACTGGCAGCCAGTGGAGCTGGCGCAGTAGAGGAGTTTTATGCTTGCTGAGCACCGCTCCTGTTAGCAATCTGGCTACTATCCATTGGATCATTTGAAGCTTCCGGGCAGTCTCATAACTTTGAAGATGTTGGACTTATGGCGTGAGCTCAGGAGTTCTGGGCCACAGCGGGCTATGCCGATCAGATGTTCGCGCTAAGTCCAGCGTCAAAAGTCCCGCAGTATGACTGTCTTACTCAGTCTAATGACCCTGCCTTTCTGTGGGAAGAAGGCTCAGGTTGAATCCCTGAAATCACCTAAGGACAAAAGAAGCCATGTGTGAAACCACCTGAGGAGTGGGAAGAGGCAGACACTAGTTTAAATACATAGTATAGATGAAATGGCTTCATAGTTTGTACCTTCTCATGCCCTAAGTTCTTAGCTTAGTGCTCCTTTTTTCTTATACAGAACACCCTGCATATTTTAATTCTGTTGACAAGATAGAGCTAGGGATCTAACAAATATTCATTTTTACCAAAGGCCAATTGCCAGAATTTTCAATGATAAATGTTATCAGTTGAAGTCACTAAAGGTTTTGCATGTTTATAAAGCAAGCTTGGGCAAAATTACTACTCACTGCAGAGTTTCACATCGATGGAGATGTCCTTGCAGTCGCCTCAGACCCCTGATACCCATGTTGCTGTAGCTTAAGTTGAGATTCCGGAGCACCTTCACCTCTGAGCATCCAAGAACATAGGCCAAAGCTGCACAGTCCACTGGGTTCAAGGTTACCTTGAACAGATCCACTTCATCCAACTTGGAAGCTGCTCTCCGGGTCACTCCATCCTGCCGCAGCTCTGCCAGGCAATGTAGCAAGGAAAGCAGCTTCCGGTCAGATTCATATTGAACCTTGCTTCCTAACCAGTCGGCCAAAGGCATTAGGGGATCACCTGTCAGGCGTTCAGTCAACCCATCCAGCTTGCCCTCCATCCTGGAGGTCAAGAGTCCCATGAAGAACCTGGAGAACATTTGCAAGTTGTCCCACTGTTGGGGTCCACTCAGGAACTCCCTGGTGTAGCTGAGAAGTCCCTCTGATAATCCATTTGGTGAAGACAGATGTTTCTCTGTTTCACCATTTTCTAGAGCACTGCCATCCCACCAGAGATCCAGACAAGATGTTAACTCCTCAGCACTGGGGTCTAAAGTTACCACGGAATACAATGCAGCTAAGAACTCTTGTATGGTCAAGTGAAAGAAGCCATAGACCTGATCATTCTCCTTGAAGAAGATCCGGTTCAAGAAGCTACCAGGCAGGCTCTCCAGATCAAACCCAAAAACCTGCAACTCATCGGTGTAGAATACTGTCCGTTTTCTCAATGTAGCAGCATAGGCTAACTTGCCAAGCTTCAGTAATAGATCTTTCACCCCTCCCAGAGTACAATTTGGTCTTCCTGAAGGATGCTTGCGCAAGCGAAGGATGGTACACAGATACTGACGGTAGACATCAGTGATGGTGCTGGGTGGAGAGGCTTCCATGGCTCCCACACAGGGGAAGAACTCCCCCAGAGCTGTGCAGAGAATAAAGCAATAGAGGGGAATGAAGCAGAGGCTGGCTAAGCCATCATGGAGAGAAATGTAGCTGAGCACAGCTGTGGCACGCTTGTGATCCCGGAAGAAGCGGAAGAAGTATTCCTGGACATGTTCTTCCTGGAAGCCAAGGATGACAATATGACGATCAAAGAGATCTTCTGGAAGGCTAGCAGAAGGTCTAGATGTGACCACAATGGTCGACTCGGGAAGTAATTTCCCATAAAGGAGCCCATGGACCAAATCCTTAATGTCAGCAGGCTGGTCAGATTGGTGGCACGGATTCTGGGTGTCCAATGAAGGCCTGAACTCATCAAGACCATCTAAGATCACCAAGATCTTCCCAGATCGAGCCAGTAGATCAGGGAGAACTTCACTCAGATGGACATGTTTCTTGCGGATCAGCTCTTCAAGACTCTTGGGTGTCGTAATGAGACTGAGTTCTCGGAAGGAAAAGTCCAGCACGCAAAGGAAATCTCGGAAGGATACCCCCAGGGCCCAGTCATGGAGGATCTTCTGGGCTGCTACACTCTTACCAATGCCAGCAGCCCCACTCAGCATCACACGGAGAGGTGGGGAAGTCTCACCAGGGAGTGGGGAGACAAGTTGGGATAGGCCCAAACGGCGGGGGGCATGGAGGGAGTAGAGGCGTGCTCGGCGAGAGGCCAGATGCAAGTAGTCATGACTGGCAGAGCCAGAACGAGGGCTGTCAGACAGCAAGAGGTCAGTGTAGCGAATCTCAATGTGTCCACAGGATTCAGTGTCATCCACATTGGTGCAAAGCTTCTCTGTACGGGTCAGTAGTGAGCGACGGTGGTTCTGCAGGGCAGCTAAACAGGGGGGGAATTGGTATAGGAAAGAGAAAGGATTAGAACAGATCCCAAAGATTATTTCCAGAGGATCATTCAGAGCTTCAAAAGATACATTTTGAAAGACAACTCCCAGAATCCTCCAACTACAATGCACAGTGCATTTTTTGGAATTCAAATTGCAGACCCCTTCTCCAGCATGGCCTGAGAGATTCTGGGAATTATAGTCCCCAAAGGTACCTTTTTAAATTGCTGGGATAATTCTGACCAAAACTCTCACTTGGAAAACATCTGTTGGAGCCATTTCAGAGAACAATGAGACTTTTTGCTGTTGTGTGTTTTTAAGCTGTTTGCAACCTAAGTCAATACTAAAGCAAACATATCATAGGATTTTCTTGGCAAGATGCTTTGTAGAGAGAGTTTACCATTGACTTACTTTAAAGATGAGGGGGTGTGACTTGCTCAAACTATACTTGAGCTAGAAACATATCTTAGAATTATATTGGAGGACAATCTCAAGGGTAGGGGATATTTTTGAAACTTGGCTTAGTGAAACCGTGGGCAGCATATCCAGTAATAAAGGGGTCATACAGTAAACGTTACCTTTAAGTTGTACACTCAAACCTCTTCGGAAAGGCAAGTCTTTGCTCTGCTTCTTATCTGCTGAGACAGGGAAGGAAACATTGCAGGTGGAACATATATTTCAAAGCCACAGAGAAGTTTAAGCAAAACACTGCTTCCCACCACACACCACAATGTGGTTAGTTCTTATTCATATCGACAGATCAAAATAGCATATCCATTGACCATCCAAATTTGGCAGGGACAATTCCATTATTCCTTTCCCACTTTTTTATCGGCTTTTGAAAGCATGTTTCTTTCTCCTCCTCTCACTTTCCCTCTTTGTCCTCCTCTTAATCCAGTGGTATTCAACCTTCCTAATGCCGCGACCCCTTAATACAGTTCTTCATGTTGTGGTCACCCCCAACCATAAAATTATTCTGGTTGCTACTTCATAACTGTAATTTTGCTACTGTTATGAATCATAATGTAAATATCTGATATGCAGGGTGTGTTTTCATTCACTGGACCAAATTTGGCACAAGTACCCAATATGCTCAAATTTGAATACTAGTGGGGTTGGGGCGGAATTGATCTTGTCATTTAGGAGATGTAGTTGCTGGGATTTATAGTTAACCTACAATCAATGAGCATTCAGAATTTCATTGGAATTGAACCAAACTTGGCACACATAACTCCTATGACACCCTCTCGCAACCCCCAGGTTGAGAAATGCTGTCTTAATCCAATTACCACAATTTGGATTCAATGTACAGAAGCTGTTTGTACTGTATTAACTCACAGGAGTGAGAAGATGAGCTGAAGTGTTGTCCTTCCCAGCATACTTAGGCAAATGTAAACTGCTGCAGTCTTTCTGAGCTTGTGTATGTGTTTATCCTCATTAACAACTTTTGCCATCTTGACCCCACTCTTTTATTGCTTGTCCACACATGTCCCAGTATTCAACTGTGAAACGTTGAACATTCAAGTAAGCAATAAGGGCCCTAACTATGAAGGGGAGGAGGAATTCGAGCATTGCTTCCATTGTTGACTACCAACAATATCTGAAGATGTTGTCATCACTGTCCCAAAGTGCCACATGGCAGAATGACTTGCCTGCAGGTGTGTTCTGAACCTTGTATGTCTTCCTTGTCTTCCATAATTTTGAGAAAAATCTGATAGGTTTTTGAGGAGGATCTGGAATCAAAACCAAGTATTGATTTAGAAGCAATACAAGAGGTGACATTTGATGTCCCCACTAGAATATCTCCCACTTCTCACCCACAGAATATGTTTCCAATTTGGTCGTGTCTGGAGATCTTCATGTCACACCCACAATTTTAAATGACCAAAAATGAGGTTGAGTCTGGACGTCATCAGATGGCCCTTGCATTACTGAGGGAAAAGGGGGGGGGGCTGTAGGGGAAATCATGGGGTAGTATCACGCTGTGTTCCCTACCCATTGGTGGTCATCGGAGAATGTGATAACTTTCTCCGATAACATTCCCCACTTCTTTGCCTCCTCCGGCTTTCTTGGGCTCTATTTTTGTGCGCCACCAGCACACTGCCAACACGGAGTCCCATGGAGCCCCAACAGAAGTAGCCTTGCATCATATGATGAGCTCCAGGGGACTCTATGCCTTCAGTGTATCAACAGCGCAGTGAAGCAGGGAGAAGGCACTTCTTGGCCTCAGTGTGATGAGGTTCTCATTCCTTTTTGTTTTTCCAAAATTATATTTATTCAATTTTAAACATATATAGAATATAAAGAAAAATTCAAAAAAATCATAAACAGAATAAAAAGTGAGACAAATACAGAAAAAGTATAAAATATATATATTTTAAAAATCACTATACAACAACAACAACAACTATTTATATGTGCATTGACTTCCATCTACTTCTTGGTGTTGGTAACATATTAAGTTTTACTTATCTTGTTTCATCTTCTTTTCTAAAGGAAGGGGGAAGGAAAAGAGAAAAAAGAGCCTTGTTGCTCTTTCATTGTGAGGTATTGTTGTTTCACAGGATTCCACGAAAAAAGGAATTGAGATTCTTTTTTGGCCGAAAAATATTTTTGAAATGCTAAGAGTCTTGGGGAGGACTCAAGAGGGGTTCTTAAGGACTGAACAGGTCCCACAAAATGCTTTGTGTGGCCATCAACTATACAATTTCCACATCTGATTTAGAGGCTAGCTGTGAATCACTGTGGGAACGGCTAAGTCTCTGTAATCAAAAAATCCAAAATACTCCAAAACTGAATCTTTTTGCTACTAACCACCCACTTCTGCCTTTTACCTGCTGAGTCTAAAGAGTTTTGAGGAGAGAAAATGAGAGGACTTATGACACAAGAAGAATATTTTTCCTTCTCTTCCTAAATATTTTGTCAAGAATGCAGAAAGTGAGCTGATAGCAGGCCAAACGTATGGAATGTCTATTTTGTAAACAGGACTTGAGTAAGTAGAGTAAGTTCTCTTTTTTCAGAATGGGTTTAGGATGACTAGAGGGGGGAAAAAAACTAACTGGTCACTGGATGTGCATCTAGCGCCCTTTCCCCCATCCCTCACTCACTGTGCATATACAAATATAGGAATTTGGAGGGGAGGTGTCATTAATAATAATTAAAAAACCCCTCTGGTCCCAAACATTTTGAATAAAGGAGTACCTGACTGGACTGGAGAGGTTTCTCTGTTTTGATCCACAGGGTAATAAGTTTGCAGCCAGTCTTGCAGCTCAGTACAATAGGCCTCACTGAGTTCCTTCAGCTCCTCCAGGAATTTCTGGCTCTCCTCAGGCTTCCTGCTGACCCTCTCCAGCAGTGCAATGACTTGGTTGGACTTGGGGTATGTCTCCAGCAAGGCGAAATACTCTGGCTGGGTGAGGAGCTCACAGTCTCGGAGCCGACGGAGCAAAGGAGCTGGGTTGGGTTCAGTCCAGCGCAGAAGTCGCTCCCGGTGCTCCTGGATCAACAGAGTACAATTTGTGGGTGCAGCCATCTGGAAGAGAGGGAAAGAGGAGAACACAGGATGACACAAACATGGGTTTTCAGTTTAGATTCATCAGCTGTTCCTAGATCAATATTAAATGAGGGGGTTAATCTAGCCCTACTGGCTTCTAGCAAGCAGAGCAAAGGGTAAGCCTTGACACCATGATAACTAGGAGAATAATAATAATAATAATAATAATAATAATAATAATAATAAAACTTTATTTGTTCCCCGCTACCATCTCCCCAAAGGACTTGGTGCGGCTTACATGAGGCCGAGCCCACAATACAGCAATAAAAGAGAAAGGTTAACATGAGGCACAACCAAACTGATTTAAAGCAGAAAGTCCTGTTCTTCTTCTGTCTTATTTTATTTTATAGTTCCATACTTGTTTTATTGATCCAAGAATATTTTGTATCAACTCCTAATATGGTCAGAGACTGTTTTATACCAGCTCCCTAGGTTGGTTTATTTTAACCAGGAATAACATTCGAAAGAACAAAATACAAAATTTGGAGCTTCAGAATGGATGTACCCTAAACACACACATAAATCTCAAAGAGCTTACTTAGGCAATCCCTCAACATCCGAGTAGGATTGTCTTCCAAGATCAGTGTACTGGTGGTGGGTACGTAGGTGACCTTGGAGCCCTATTTTTGACACGTTCTCCTGCAGTGAGGGCATTGGTTTCCAGGTGGAAGGCGGTCCCAGTCAGGGTTGGCTTGATGCGCTTTCCTCTTGGCACGTTTCTCTCTTTCGCCTTCCATTCGTGCCTCTTCAAATTCTACAGCACTGCTGGTCACAGCTGACCTCCAGCTAGAGTGCTCAAGGGCCAGGGCTTCCCAGTTCTTGGTGTCTATGCCAGCGTCTTTAAGGTTGGCTTTAAGCCCATCTTTAAATCTCTTTTCCTGTCCTCCAACATTTCGTTTGCCATTCTTGAGTTCGGAGTACAACAACTGCTTTGGGAGACGGTGGTCGGGCATTCAGACAATGTGGACAGTCCAGCGGAGTTGATGGTGGAGGACCATCGCTTCAATACTGGTGGTCTTTGCTTCTTCCAGCACGCTGACATTTGTCCGCTTGTCTTCCCAAGAGATTTGCAGGATTTTTTGGAGACAATGCTGATGGAATCGTTCTAGGAGTTGCATGTGACATCTATAGATAGTCCACGTCTCGCAGGCATATAGCAGGGTTGGGAGGACAACAGCTTTATAAACAAACACCTTGGTATCCCTGCGGATGTCCTGGTCATCAAACACTCTGTGCTTCATTCGGAAAAATGCTGCATTCGCAGAGCTCAGGTGCTGTTGAATTTCAGTGTCAATGTTGACTTTTGTGGAGAGGTGGCTGCCAAGGTAGCAGAAATGGTCAACATTTTCTAATGTTACACCATTAAGCTGTATTTCTGGCATTAGAGAGGGATTGGCTGGTGACTGCTGGAAGAGCACTTTGGCTTTCTCAATGTTCAGTGACAGGCCGAGCATCTCGTATGCTTCTGTGAAGGTGTTTAAAGTGGCTTGTAGGTCTTCTTCTGAATGCACACAGACGATGTAGTCATCAGCATATTGGAGTTCTATAACAGATGTTGTTGTATCCTTGGTTTTGGCTTTCAGTCTGCTCAGCTTAAATAGCTTGTCATCTGTCCGATAGATGATTTCCACTCCAGTGGGAAGCTTCCCATCAACAAGATGAAGATCTCAAAGAGCTATATACTGTGCAGGAACGTTTTGTGTAGAAATTGGGGGGTTTTAGTGCAGAAAATGCATTTTCTGTGCAAAAAATGTGATTTTGTGTATGTGTAAGCAAATTCACTCTGAAACTGCTATGCTTTTTGCTCTTCTAGGAGTTTCTTCATTAGGGTTTCCCCAACACTTGAGAAATCTGGTTCTCAGCCAATTCTTAGGAGCGCCTGGTAGCGCAATGGGTTAATCCCTTCTGCCAACAGGACTGCTGGCTCCTTGAGATGGCATTGGCCCTCTCCTTGGAATGATCAAAATCCATATTTTGGGCTCCAAATCCTGCCCTCAACTTATATATGAGGTTGACTTATACATGAGTATATATGGTACCGTATATTTTAGGCTGAAAAAGCCCCCCTCGGCTTAAACTCAAATCAAGTTTATTTATTATTTTTCTCTATTTATTATTATTACATGTATTATTTTTCTCTATTTATTATTGTTATTATTATATTTAGAATTTTTATCTCTTTATTATTATTACATTTATTATTTTACTCTCTTATTACTGGTATTGTTACATTTCCATTATTTTACTCTATTATTTTACTCAGGTACTCCTTTATTTATGATTTTACTCTATTATTATTGGAAGGATACGTAAAAACATTTACATTGAAGAAGGTGAGAATAATTGTTTAATCAGAGTTGGACAGTCTTATCTTAAATTACAGTTTTATGTAAATATTCAAAAACATTTAACCTACTTTTCAACAGAGGCTGGATGGCCATCTGTCAGGGGTGCTTTGAATGCAATATTCCTGCTTCTTGGCAGGGGGTTGGACTGGATGGCCCATGAGGTCTCTTCCAACTCTATGATTCTATGATTCTACTGATGCCTCAATTAATATAATTTTATTGGTATCTATTTTTTATTTTGCAATTTACCAGTAGCTGCTGCATTTCCCAACCTTGGCTTATACTCGAGTCAGTGTGTTTTCTCAGTTTTTTGTGATAAAATTAGGTGCCTTGGCTTATATTCAGGTCAGCTTATACTCAAATATATATTGCAAGTGGGACCTACCATTATCATAGTGTAGTGTGAAAATGTAAATGGTTGACCACCCTGAAGCCACTAAACCATAATTACATGAAAACAACCCCCTGGGTTAATTATAATAACAGAAAGGGCAATCTGTGTTTTTCAGAACGTCCGTAGAGAAATGGGGCAAATTCTTCCACATCTTAACTAGTGGAAGTTTTGCTGCTAAGAGCAGGATTCATGATGTGAGAGGTGTTATGTGGGTCAAAGAGTCCAAATTGCCTTCCTTCAGATGGAGTTGGAGGGGAAGGAACCCTGCTGCAAGTCTATATTAGGAGCCATTCAAGAAAAGATATATAAGCCTATTAATAGGTCTGTTACATTAACAGGCAAAATTTACTTGGGGCAGTCTTTCAGTTCAGATGCTCTTTCGATCAGAGAAGGGTGGCAAATACTTAACAGGACAAAATGTTTTGCTTTATCATGAATATTCTCCAAGGAACAGAAGGAAGGAGCTGATAACAGAAGCTTAGAAGCTGACCTTTCATTCATGTAGTGATAAGGGGAATTAGTTGCTGATCAAGGCACAGTTAGTTTCAGAGTAGAGCAAGAAATACTGATGTCTCGCAACCCCTTGTGGGGCTGTCCTCTTCACCCCAATTCAGCCCAAGGGCGGGGGGTGGGGGGGCGGTGGTGGTGGTGATAAATTAAGAAGACCACAATGTATATGTACCTGGTAATAGTCTTCATTATGTAGCATAGGAGTGCAATCATGCAGTCATCTAAACCAAAGCCTTAAGCACTATGACAAATGGTCAGGAATCCTGGAGGATGCAGTTCTGCAACATCTGGGAGACCATAATTTTGCTCAATCCTGAGATTTCAGTGAGTTGAATCCACATGTGGTAATTCTGGAGTAAACCATGACAGTCAATGGGTCAACTCTGAATGATCAAATCTTAAGGGGAAAAAAGTTCTAGGACTTTGGAGAATGTCTGGTATATAGTCTTCCAAGAATATAATCCATTTCTTTAGATGCCTTTTCCAACTCAGTAGAATTTCCTTCCAAAGACACATGCGTACCTATTAGGCATGGTTAGGTACCATCGGAATCTTCGTAATTCAGAATAAAGTCGGAAAAATCACCTTTTTGAAGCGATTTCGAAGTTTTTAAGAAAACCGGAAGTCCCTTTGCCCTTCCTAAGCTTTTTCCGCCATATTTGTTATGACTCATGAAGTGAGTCAGAAATGATTCAGCTTTTCCCCACTTCTGGTCCCTAGCCTCGGCTCAAGCCAGAGGAGGCAGTTTTAAAGCCAGAGAAGCAAGTTTTAAACCAGAGAAGGAAGAAATTTCCTCCCCTTGCTTTTCCCCACTTCTGGTCCCTGGCCTCAGCTCAAGCCAGAGAAGCCAGTTCTAAACCAGAAAAGGAAAGAATTTCCTCTGCTCGCTTTTCCCTGCTTCTGGAGTAAAACAACTACTTACAAAGTAAAGACCAATGAAACAGGAAATAGCACTTTCAAACAATTAATGAAAGGATTCAGAAGTCTTGGAAGTTTCAACAAGTTTTGAACATTTTTTCTGTGAAAATCAGAATTGACTTTAGAATTGAACCACCAATGCCCTCTACATCCGAAACGAATTTTGAACCATTTTTAAAAATCAAACAAGCCTAGTACCTATGCTTGAACCATTGAGACAATTTTCCTCTGTGGTATTGTTATTATTAGCTGTCACAAGTTGTTGATGACATACAGCAGCACTAAAGTAAAGTTAACATGGGGTACAATTTGTTTGGACAGGGTTTATTACTGTCTCCTGAGGATGAAAGACTTCTTCAAAGTCACCTGGTGAATTTCCAAGGCATTATGAAGATTCATACCCTGCTCTCTTAGAGTCCCGGTACAGCATCTAGACCACCAAATCCCATTAGCTCACCTGTATGATATTAATTTCCATTGAGGAGGGTAAAAATGGGAATGCCAGTTTATATCACCAAGTGTGATAAGAAATAGGATGGTTATCTATTTGCCCACAACTATACACAACTGCATGATGCTAGAACTGATTTTGTTCCTGAACTGCTGTTACAACATAAGAATACGAAAGTTGTGCGTTTGGGGTAAACCTTGACCCATTTTGTGTCCCAACTTTCGGTGGGGATCCCAATCCAATTTTTTTGGGAGCCTCCCAAAATTGGGAGGGCAGATATCTGTTTTCTGTCTGGGTGCTAAAATATCTGTTTTCTATTGGCCCATTATGGGGAAGGAGGGGTTCCTAGGCTCCCCTTCCCATCATTTTAGGCATTTAAGCTGTTTTACTCTAGAGGACAGGCGCTCAGCTGCAGGCAGGCACAAGCTTTAAGAAGGCGTCTTACCTGTTTCTACTCTAGAGGAGAGTTGCACGGCTGCAGGCAGGTGAACAAGCTGGGCCAGCACATCACACACAAAGTCTTTCCAAGGCAAGGAGGCAAGTTCTGTCTTTCTTACTCTAGAGGAGACGCTTGGCTGCAGGAAGGCATGCGTGCTGGGCCGTTCATGCCTCACATGCACTCTTTCCAAGGCAAGAAGGCATGGAGTGCCATGTGCTCATGAAAAGTAGAGGAGGAGTCAGGATCAGCTTCTGCTTACTTTCATGTCAAACTGATTTTCATACCAAGAGGGGCCTTCGTGTTATGTGCTCCTGAAGGTAACAAAAGAACAGATGAAAGGAAGGGAAATTGTTCCACACACAATTCTAAAGAAAACATCATGGTGACTCTAAGGCAAATCTATCATAAGATATTAATTTTGAATACTTTTTAAATCAGTTTTATAGATTTTAATTCTTATTTTTAAAAATATTGATGTTTAATTCTGTTTTAATATTTGTATATTTGAGGATTTTAAATTGCACTGAAATGCTTTTAATGCAAGCTGCTTTGTGTCTCCTTTGTGGAGAGAAAAAGTGGGGTAGAAATAATAATAATAATAATAATAATAATAATAATATCAATAATAATTATCAATAATTATTATTATCAAGACCTCAGAATTGAACTGCAAAGGCATAAACCAGTGCAGGTGGTCCCAGTGGTAATCAGCACACTGGGTGCCGTGCCAAAAAATCTCAGTCAGCATTTGGAACTTATTTCATTGGAACTTATGTCACAAGTACCACCTGCCAGTAGTAAAGAACTGGTGGGATCATAAACCTGCAAAGGTAGTAGAAAATGAACATGCAAAAATACTGTGGGACTTTCAAATCCAGACTGACAAAGTTTTTGGAACACAATACACCAGACATCATGATTGTGGAAAAGAAAAAAGTATGGATTATTGATGTCGCCATACAAGGTGACAGTCGCATTGAAGAAAAACAACAGGAAAAACTCAGCCATTATCAGCACCTCAAAATCGAACTGCAAAGTACAGGTTGTCCCAGTGGTCATCGGTACACTGGGTGCCGTGCCAAAAGATCTCAGCCAACATTTGGAAACAATAAACATTGACAAAATCTCGATCTGTCAACTGCAAAAGGCCACCTTACTTGGATCTGCACGCATCATTCGAAAATATATCACACAGTCCTAAATGCTTGAGAAGTGTTCGACTTGTGATTTGGTGATATGAAATCCAGCATATATATCTTGTTTGCTATGTCATACTGTGTTCTTGTGTCAGTAAAACAACAACAACAACAACAACAACAACAACATGGCCAAGAGAGTATGATTTGTCCAAGGTCATCCATTGGGTTTCCATGGCTGAGCGTGGTCTCTGGAATCATAGTTCAACATTCAAACCACTACAAAATGATGGCTTTCAATACTTCTGCTCTAAACTGGAGTGCATTTTTGTTGAAACATGCATGATTTCTGTGTGTGTTGGAGGGCAGCAATCCAGAGATGGAGCAGCATTTAAGGGGAAGGTGAACAGTTAATTTGGTTGGAATGCAACATGAGATACACCCAATCTTTATCTGGACAGGATCAGCTTAGGTCCAAAAGCACAACAGCAATTGTTTAATAAGTAAGAGGAAACAGGAGGTGGATCAGTACTATGCTTGCTACTTTTTTTCAAAAAGGCCATGATTCTATGCTTGGGAAAACAACTCCCACACATAAATTAAGTGGCCCCAGCCAAGTTCTCTTTTTAAATCAATCTCTGTTAGTGTACACTGAACAATAATAGTTAGATGTCCAAACAGGAGGAGGTGGCTATGCTTCTAGCTTCCTTAGCAGCTGATATTTGGAACTCAAACTGCTGCTAAAGTCATAACAGCAGACGTGTGTTTGTACAGCTCGCTCCTTTCCCCTTTTCACATGGCCATCGGCCTTTTCACAGCACTGATTTCCACATGTTAGGAAGCCTTGTATTAAAATTATTCAGCTCTGTCTTTGGGATGAGTCCTTCCATCGAGCAGAGTGAGGCAGCCATCTCAGATAGACCTTTTGGGGTTTTCTGAAAGGGCAGCAAATTATTTCCTTTTATTGTGATTTGTTATCCTGTAGCAGGGAAACAAAGAAACACTTGTGGGATTTTCTGACACAGGTGTCAAAACAACCCTTTTGGCTTTGAAAACTACTCCCCTATGTGTGGGTAGGGGATAAAACTTGCAAAATGTGTGGAATAAACGCAGATCTCTTAATTCATGAACTAGACATAAGGTGGCCATTTTGCCAGCCTACTTCACCCCACACAAAGGATCAAGCAAGAAAGGAACTGGTGTTTCTGACCCATAAAGCCCTACACAGTTGGGTCCAGGTTATTTGAAGGAGAGTATCCCTTTATGAGCTTGATAGGACACTAAAATCAAGTGCGTCTGGTGGGAACAAGTAAGGTTGTGTGTGGAATGATTTTCCATCGTTTCACCCATTCTTTTGTTACTTTTGTTACCTTCGGGAGTGCCTCCTCTAGAGTAAGAAAACTTGCTTCCTTGCCTTGGAAAGAGAATGTGTGTGTGGCATACAGGTCCAGAAAGCGCACCTGCCTGCCTGTAGCCAAGCACCTCCTCTAGAGTAACAGAACTCCTTGCCTTGGAAAGTGGATGTGGTGTGCAGACCCAGAAAGCATGCATGCCTGCCTGCAGTTGAGTGCATCCTCTGGAGTAAGAGAATTCCTCCTTTTGGAAATTATGTGTGGCATGCAGGCCCAGAAAGCACACCTGCCTGCCTGCAGCCAAGCACCTCCTCTGGATAAGAAAACTTGCCTCCTTGTCTTGGAAAATGCATGTAGCATTCAGGCCCAGAAAGCACATGCACCTGCCTGCAGCTGAGTGTCTCCTCTGGAGTAAGACCTTGCCTCCTTGCTTTGGAAAGTGTGTGTGGCATGCAGGCCCAGAAAGTTTATGCACCTGCTGCAGTTGAGCACCTCTAGAGTAAGAGAGCTCCTCCTTGCCTTGGAAAGTGTATATGGCATGCAGGTCCAGAAAGCGTGCATGCCTGCATGCAGCCGAGCCCCTCCTCTGGAGTAAGAGAACTCCTTGCCTTGGAAAGTGGATGTGGCATGCAGGCCCAGAAAGCATGTGCCTGCAGCCAAATACCTCTTCTAGAGTGAGAAACAGGTAAGAAGCCTCTTTAAAATGCACATCTGCCTGCAGCTGAGCGCATCTCCCCTAGAGTAAAACAGCTTAAATGCCTAAAATGATGGGAAGCCTGAGAAGTGGCCCTCCCACATAATGGGCCTATATAAAATGAATCTTTCGGCGCTCCAGAGTCCCTATGGAGAGATAAAGCAGGAGAAAAACAAAGTAAATAAATAAAGGAATTAAGTCTCCTTTGTAGGGATAGTTGGCTCCCCATGTATGTGAATTTGATTAATATGTTTTCCCTAGGAACCTCCAGAATGATTCCTGGGTCAACTTCTGTCATTTTCGTGTCAGCCCTTCTGATGGTGTTACCTGATAAGGTTTGCATCCCCATGGACCGATGCCACTGGACTGATGAAAAGGACTCCGCAGCACTTGTTGAACCTTCCCTGATCCACAGGCATCTGTTGAACATTAGGCAGATGTGAAAAGGCACCGAGCCCGTGTCATAAAAGGAGTGGCGCCCCTGTTCTAGCAGAACAACATTCAATCATCTGGAAAGAGGGGGGTGTTGCAGCCATCTGGGCTGCAACTGCCTCTGGCTGAAATCCCTCCTCATCCAGGGAGCTCATCGGGTGACCTTGACTGCCCTGTATGTATCTCTTCCGCTGAACCACCTCAGGGGGTTATTCGGAGGATAAACAAGATAAGAATTACAAAGCACTTCTGAGCAGGGACAAGTGTAAAGAAAATGATTAAGAATCCTTATCATAAACCCATAAAGTTGCACCATACCAGGCTTAGTGAACTCTGTATTCTTTGATAGCTGACACCAAAGGGTGTGTGTGTATGTGTGTGCAAAGAAGCAATCCCTCTAAAACAAGAATATACATTTCTTATAAGGAGGAGTTGAGTTAAAAAGGAGTAAAGCCTCCAAAGCCCATATGGTTTATTACTGTGTCCATATGCTTTATTGTGATGCCCATATGCTGTATTATTTCTCCCTATTTTGAAATGTTAAGATGCCATGGAAGTTCATAGGGTTGCCAGACTGACAACTGGAGAGCGCTCCTGAACCTTTAATAATTATTTTTACCAAGCCTCTTTCTAAGCGCTTTGAATTCAACCTGGAAGCTCACTGGCAACATTATTCATTCTTAACTGCAATCCAGACAACTTTGACTTATTGTGGTCTCAAAAATGAGAGACCAATAAGTCATGCAGGTTCTGGACTATAGCTTCCTTGATTGAACTGCATTACATGGTCAGTGTAGACTCAAATAATTATATGAGTCTACATCAGTGTTTCTCAACCTGGGGTCGGGACCCTTGGGTGGGTCGCAAGGGGGTGTCAGAGGGGTCAGCAAAGACCAATAGAAAACACAGTACTTTCTGTTGGTCATGGGTATTTTCTGTTGGCCCAATTCTATCATTGGTGAGGTTCAGAAAGCTCTTTGGTTGTAGGTGAACTATAAATCCCAGCAACTAAAACTCCTAAATATCAAGATCTATTTTCCCCAAACTCCACTAGTGTTCACATTTGGGCGTATTGAGTATCCGTGCCAAGTTTGGTCCAGATCCATCATTGTTTGAGTCCACAGTGCTCTCTGGAGGTAGGTGAACTACAACTGCAAAACCCAAAGTCAGCGTCTACCAAGGTATTTGCTGGAGGTGCAGGAAACTGAAAGGGACATTCCTCCATATGTGGTGGACCTGTGTGACCATATAGGCATTTTGGGATAAGGTAATTAAGGAGATAAATGAAATGCTACATAACAAGGTTTTTAAAAAGCCCATAGTGTTTCAGAGTTTGAAGTCATGGTGAAGGGTGCATTAGGAAGAACTTCCCATGGTGAAGGGTGCATTAGGAAGAACATTAGGAAGAAGTTCCTGATGTGAGAGCTGTTCAGCAGTGGAACTTTCTGCCCCAGAGTGCGGTGGAGGCTCCTTCTTTGGATGCTTTTAAACAGAGGCTAGATGGCCGTCTGTCAGGGGTGCTTTGAATGCAATATTCCTGCTTCTTGGCAGGGGGTTGGACTGGATGGCCCATGAGGTCTCTTCCAACTCTATGATTCTATGATTCTAGGTGTGGGGAAAAGGTTTTATTTTGTGTGGGAGAGGAGTTTTGAGATGAGTGTATGGTCTGCCATGTGTAATACGTTGTGTGTTGGTTCTCTGAATGTTATGGGAAAAAATGAATAGAAAGCTTAGACTGAAAATAGTGGATAATATGTAGAAATAGCAAGTCTATGTTTTAAGTTAAGTAACCAATAATAAAATGTACTCAGTGTCAAAATTAACTGGTTGATTGACTAAAGTAGATAGGCATGTATATATCAAAAATATTGTTGAAAAGCAAATCATATCTGTTATGATTTGCTTTTCTGTTATGTACGATAACTAAAATAAACAGCTGATTTTAAAAAACTACAACTCCAAAACTCAAGGTCAATGCCCACCAAGGTCAATGCCCTTCCAGTATTTCCTCTTGGCCATGGGAGATCTGTGTGCCAAGTTTGATTCAATTCCATTGTTGGTGGAGCTCAGAATGCTCTTTGATTGTAGGTTAACTATAATTCCCAGCAACTACAACTCCGAAATGCCAAATCCCCCCCCCCCCCCCCACCAGTATTCAAATTTGGGCATATCAAGTATTTTTGCCAAATTTGGTCCAGTGAATGAAAATACATCCTGCATATCAAATATTTACATTACGATTCGTAACAGTAGCAAAATTACAGTTATGAAGTAGCGATGAAAATATTTTTATAGTTGGGAGTCACCACAACATAAGAAACTGTGTTAAGGCGTCACAACATTAGGAAGGTTGACAACCACTGGTCTACACAGACCATATAATGTAGTTCACTCTACATTATAATGACAGTGTAGATGTGACCTGAGTCTATCCAATCTCACGCGTTTCCTCCTGCATTCTGCCTCCCCAAGCTTACTTTTTTTATAGTTATGTCTGCTATAAACCCTAAAGTACAAAAGTTTACTCAGCTTGGCTTCTATGAAGAGTTCAGCTTAATTTGCTTGGAATCCTATTTAATTTATCTTTTACCTATCCAAACTTGTACTAAATACATAAAGTCTAAATAGGTTTGGTAACTTCAGTTAACCAGGCAGGCGATTGCCAGCATGTGAATGATCATAGTAAACCATGTTGTGGTGTTACACAGCTGTGAATGAACACTTATTTTGCATTAGCTCAAGATGCCTCTGTTCTCTAATCTCCCCACCTGATAGAAACATTAGTACTAGAGATTCAGTTATTTTCCCAGAGCCCCCAATGGGGCAATGGGTTAAACCCTTGTGCCGGCAGGACTGCTGACCAAAAGGTCGGCAGTTCAAATCCGCGAGATGGGATGAGCTCCCATCTGTTAGCTCCAGCTTCCAATGCGGGGACATGAGAGTAACCTCACACAGGATGGTAACACTTCTGGGCATCCCCTGGGCAACATCCTTGCAGATGGGCAATTCTCTCACACCAGAAGTGACTTGCAGTTATCTCAAGTTGCTCCGGACATGGAAAAAAAGTTATTTTCCCCAAAAGAAAGATGACAACACCTATCATTCCCAGCCAGCGTAGCCTATTTGGAAGAAAGCCTGTGTCCCTCACTCCAGTTAACTTGGAAGACTGGCTGTAGTTGGAAACGTTTGAACCTGGGGAATAGGGTGAGCTCCCATCTGTCAGCTCCAGCTTCCCCCCAAAAAAGGTGACAATACCCCAGCCAGCCATCATTCCCGGTGAGCATAACCTATCTGGAAGAAAGCCTGTGTCCCTAACTCCAGTTAACTTGGCAGGCAGACTGTAGGAAATGTTCCCAGTTTGGAATACACCTCTCAAAATTGCCCAGGTAGAATGGCCAAAAAGTAAGTTGTCTAATTACTAAGATAAATGTCATTTTTTAGAGCAGTCCCCTGCCCCACATCCTAGCAATGTAGAAGAAACATCAGTCCTTCCCAACCAATGCTCCTATAATAATAAAATAATAATAAAACTTTATTTGTACCCCGCTACCATCTCCCCAAGGGATTCGGTGTGGCTTACATGAGGCTGAGCCCACAATACAACGATAAAAACAAATAAAACTCATAAACAGAAAATAGCAATAAACATTAACAATAACACAACGACGTTTAAAAACCTATGGCAGGGCCAAATGTACTAAATTAAAAAATTTAAAAATAATGCTGGCCGTGACCAGGTGACATATAAACAGGATAGAAATTTTGGAGAGGGATAGAGCGTGCAGACAATCCTAGATCACTAATAAAGTGCATTTAGGGACATATTGCTGGGAGTTTCCTTATTCTGGAAAGGCACACTGGAACAACCACGTTTTCAGGCTCCTCCTAAAGACTGCCAGCGTTGGGGCATGTCTGATGTCCCTGGGAAGTGGGGTTCCAGAGTCGAGGAGCCACCACCAAGAAGGCCCTGTCCCTCGTCCTCACCAATCGCACTTGCGATGGAGGCGGGAGCGCGAGCAGGGCCTCTCCAGATGATCGAAGAGATCGCGTGGGTTTGTACATAGTGATGCGGTCACGCAGGTAGGTGGGTCCCAAACCGTTTAGGGCTTTGTAGGTAAGCACCTGCACCTTGAATTGGGACCGCAAAATGAACAACAGCCAATGGAGCTCCTTAAACAGGAATAATTACCCATTGACTCAAGTCCAAAATGCAATATAGGCAGTTCCCAAGTTACGAAAAAGAGAAATTCTGTGCACTTGTTCTTAAGCTGAATGTGTATGTGTGTCGGAACAGGTACATTAGTTAAGTATAATTCCAGCCAGATAAATATATAACATTTTTAGCTTTGGATAACAGAGGAAAAGATTAAGACCCCTGTGGTGTATGTTTTGCTGTCTGTGCCCCCGTTCAGAAGATTACTTCTTACTTTCTGTCTCTGTGCTAATTGGATTTTGAAATAAAAGTGGCTTGTTGTGGAAACAAGGATTGGGGATCAAGCTTCAGTAGAAACACCTTTTCCCCATGATAACTCTTGCAGGAATGAATTTCCCTTTCTAGAGGTAGATTCCTCTCCCTTCCTGTTGTCTCACCCCCATACTAAACTATGAATCATTTGTCTGTTAGATGTTTGTAACTCTGGGACTGCCTGTAATGAGATTCCTACCTGTTCGTAGAATGTGGAGGGTCCTTCGCCATGTAGCTTTCAGTTCGTCAGTTACCAGGCGTGGCTCAGGTTAAATGTTTGCCACTGGTGACACGGAAGTGACAGCCTCGTCATGGGTTGGATTGAAAAACTGGCCAGGCAACCAAGGCGATTTTTGGAACTGCATTACAAACTTTTCAAAGCAATGAGTTATTGGATTTTGGATGTGGCAAAATTCCACTGCACTTGATTTGGGGGGAAAGGATAAATCAAATATACTTCCGATACTCTCTGACTCTTCAAATATTTGCCACTCCTTTCACGAAATAGCTGTCATTGCCAGAGCACACATATCCATGTCTACTCAGACCCACATCCGTAGTACACAAACATATCAATGGGATAGCACTTTAATTCTTTGCCAGAGTGTTGTAGCCCAGGGCATGGAAGTAGCTTGAAGTGGTGTAACATTTCATTTCTTCCCTCATGAAACTTTCCTCCAAATTTCTAGTATTAAAGTGAACAAGAGAAAAAATCCCACATACCTAGAACTACAGTAGAGTCTCGCTTATCCAACATAAACGGGCCGGCAGAACGTTGAATAAGTGAAAATAAGGCAGGATTAAGGAAATGCCTATTGAACATCAAATTACGTTATGATTTTTCAAATTAAGCACCAAAACATCATGTTTTACAACAAATCGACAGAAAAAGCAGTTCAATACATGGCAACGTTATGTAGTAATCACTGTATTTATGAATTTAGCACCAAAMCATCACAATTTATTGAAACAGCTGTGGATCCGGGCAGGAGGCAGACTGCGTTGGAKAATACAGAATATTGGATGTGCGAAGGTTGGATGTGAGACTCTACTGTATTATACTATACTATAGTGTACAATAGCTGTGGCACAGCTAGTTAGTAACCAGCTGCATTAAATCACTACTGACCGAGAGGTCATGAGTTCAAAGCCAGCCTGGGTCAGAGTGAGCTCCCGACCATTAATAGTCTAGCTTGCTGTTGACCTATGCAGCCCGAACGACAGTTGCATCTGTCAAGTAGGCAATTTAGGTACTRCTTTATGCAAGGAGGCTAATTTAACTAATTTACGAYGCCATAAAACCTTCTAGCAGCATGCATGGAAGAATGAGGAAGTATTCCATCAAAGGACTTGGTGTCACAAGTGGACAGTGAAGCGGCAGCTCCTCTGTGGGCGGAATCGAGCATACTCTCATGAAGCCAGAAAAGCTGAAATGTTAAATTGCCTCTGTGTCTGTCTATAGATATTGTATGTCTAAATGGCATTGAATGTTTGCCATGTATATGTACATTGTAATCTGCCCTGAGTCCCCTGCGGGGTGAGAAGAGCGGAATATAAATACTGTAAATAAACAAATAAATAAATAATATTATGCTACATTATGTTAACTATTATAGGGGCTGCATTAGCACAGTGGTTAAAGCCGCTAGCTGCTGGAAAGGCTGCTGACTGGAGGGTCAACAGTTCAAAGTCATGAGTTGTGGTGAGCTCCCAACTGTCAGTCCTAGCTTCTGCCTACCAAGCAGTTCGAAAGCATGCAATGCGAATGGATCAATAGGAACTGCCTTAGCAGGAAGGTAAAAGGGACAGACATGTCAGCAAAAAGATTGGAGATGTCTGCAGAAAGCAGGCTCCTTCAGCATGGAAAATAAAACAAGAGCACCTCCCCATGGCCAGAAGTTGAGCATTGCCTCTGGACGCCAAAGATGTGCATTGTATGACATTGTTCATGTAAAATGGCATTGAATGTTTGCCTTATATGTGTACTGTAATTTACTGTAAGCCCTGGCCCTTGAGTGCTCCAGTTAGAGGTCAGCTGTGACCAGCAGTGCTGCAGAATTTGAAGAGGCATAAATGGAGGGTGAAAGAGAGAAATGTGCCAAGAGAAAGGCACGTCAAGCCAACACTGACCTGGAAACTGATACCCTCACTGTGGGAGAAGATGCAGATCAAGAATAGGGCTCCACAGTCATCCTCCAAGTGATGAGGGATCGCCTAAGTAAGTAAGTAAGTAATCTACTATAAGTCCCTCTGGGGAGATAAAGTGGAATATAAATAAAGTGTATTAGTGTATCCAACATATGTTGGATAATAAGGAAGAATGAAGGAAAAGCCTATTAAATGTCAAATTATATTATGATTTTACAAATTAAGCACAGAAACATCACCTTTTACAACAAATTGACATAAAAAGCAATTCAATACACAGTAACATTATGTAGTAATTTCTGTATTTACGAATTTAACACCAAAACATCGCAATGTTTTGAAACAGCTGTGTATCTGAGCGGGAGGCAGACTGCGTTGGATAATACAGAAGTTGGATGAGCAAAGGTTGGATAAGAGAGATTCTACTATACTGTTAAATTCTGAAAAATTGGCCAAATATTAAATTTCAAGGAATGTGAGTTTCAATGCTAGATTAAAGTAAAATCACATTTTAAAAAACTAATGTAAGAAACTATCCCAAGATAACTCTAAACAGCCACAATGAGGTTAGTTTTATATGTATGCACCAGTTTGTGGTGTATAAACATGTTTTTTTCTACTAAACTTAAATGAAGAAAGAGGAAATAGCCGTTCCACAACTATGTATGTGGTTTTTGAGTGCTTCAGATGTGAACAACGTACATGAAAGAAGACAAGCTATTTCTCCTTTTCTGTTCTTGCTTCCATTCTCACTCTCTCTCAGCTACAGATGATGTGTCAGAAAAAGTTGCTCAACGTGGTTTCAAAAATAGAAAAGGACTTTTATTTTTGTTAAAAACAGAATGAGCTAAATGCGGTAGTGAAAGCGCAAGCATGAAAACAGTCTCATCGTTATATTTTATATGCTTGTTAAATGACTGTGTTATTTAAATTATTATTCAAATTATTTTCACCATCATTTAGCTAGAATGGTTTGTGGTGATCACAAAGATACTTCAAAACAGACCACAGTGCTTGCAATGAACGATTAAGGTAAGTAACCCTTATATAGATTGCTGTGATGGCCATCTTCCAGAAGCATTTTCTCCTGATGTTTCGCCCACATCTGTGGAAGGCATCCTCAGAGGTTGTGCGTTCTGTTGGAAACTAGGCAAGTGATGTTTATATAGATATGGAATGTCCAAGGTGGGAGAAATAACTCTTATCTGCTTGAGACAAATGTGAATGTTGTAATTGGCCACCTTGATTAGCATTTAATGGCCTTGCAGCTTCAAAGCCTGGCTGCTTACTTCCTGGAGTAATTCTTTGTTGGGAGGTGTTGTCTGGCCCTGATTTTTTCCTGTCTGGAAAAAAAACCTCTAGTAATTTATCTATAATCCTGTTGCTTACGTATTGTATGTATGTTCTGCTATGCAGCTTTCTTTCCTTGCTCTATGTTTTTCCTGAGAAGTTGTGGGAGGGGCTGCAGGCCACGTGATCTGCTCCGGGACAAGCATAGAGCACAGACTTCTTTAGACTTTGGGACTGCTGTTTATTTTAAAAGAGATGTTCTGACCGGATAGCACAGAACCTATCTCAAACATATCTGTAACTGACTGATAAGATGTGTACCAGTGTATGCTGGACACATGATGGTCGTGAGTAAAACAAATATGTTATTTTTACTAAAGTCTACATTATTTTGTCTCTTGAGTGCATAATATAAAACAAGTTGTTTTATGGGAGAGTAGATATATATTTTGGGCACTGAAAAACACCTCTGAAGAACTGCTATTTTTTATGCACTGGCATATTCTCTGTTTCTTAACAGATCAGAGAGAACAGGTCATTCAGTCTAACAACTATTGCCATGCATATTTACATTTGGTTTTATACCACTTAAGAAGATTCTACTCAAATTGGTTTTTGGCTCTTTCCTAAAAGGTTATTATCTCTAAAAGGTCATGTTTTTCTAAAAGAGGGAAGAGGAGAGTGGGGGAGATGGGGAAGGCATAATATCCCTTCCAATCACTAAACAAATATTAACCCTTTCTCCTCTCCTCAGGTGCAAAGACAAAAATGGAATCAAAACTTTAAAACTTCATAAAACTTCGGTTTACAATGGAATCTGCAGTTTGACATCCCATGGATCAATGATACAGAATCTTGGGAGTTGTAGTTTCGCAAGGCCTTCTCTGCCAGAGAGTGTGCTGGTGTATCCCCAAAGGCAGAGGAAATGAAAGATCTTGTGAAACTACAATGCTTAAGATTCCATAGTGCTGAACCATGGTAGTGAAAAGAGTGTCAAACTCAGTCATGGGAGTTGCAGTTTGGTGAGGCACTGGCACTGTTTGGAAGAGAAGGTTTAGTACAACTAAAACTCCCATAATTCCATAGCATTGAGTCATTACAGTTAAAGTGGTGTCAACATTGCATTCATTCTACAGGGTAGATGTACCCTAGGAGTTGTAGCCAAGGAACACTGTGTGGAGGATGATCTTGGACTGTGTAGTTTTAATACACAGTGGGTTAAACCGCTGAGCTGCTAAACTTGCTGATCAAAAGATCGCAGATTCAAATCCAGGGAGTAGCATGAGCTCCCACTGTTAGCCCCAGCTTCTGCCAACCTAGCAGTTTGAAAAACATGCAAATGTGAGTAGATCAATAGGTATCGCTTCTGCAGGAAGGTAACAGTGCTCCATGCAGTCATGCCGGCCACATGACCTTGGAGGTGTCTACGGACAACGCTGGCTCTCCAGCTTAGAAATGGAGAGGAGCACCATCCCCCTGAGTCAGACATGACTAGACTTAATGTCAGGAGAAAATCTTTACCTTTATCTTAGATATTTTAATTCTTTGGTTTTAATGTCAATGTTTATTTTAATAGTATGTTGATTCTATGGCATTGAATTGTTGCCTATGTGTAAAGTCCCTTTCGGGGTGAGAAGGGCAGGGTATAAATATGGTAAATTAGATGTCAATTCGCTTATATGATGAATAATAATGTTTTAAATGTATTTTATTTCAATGTTTTATCTTTTGTAAAAAGTTGTTTGCAACGTGTTTTTGCACGCTCTCAGCATCGAATTGCTGTTATTGTAAGCCGCTCTGAGTCCCCTTTCGGGGGTTGAG